ATCCGTCCCAATTAATCCGATATCATCCCAATTATATTAGAGTAGATCTTATCCTGACTCGAAAATAATTAAGACAGGACTTTACGAGATGAGATAAGAAAGAATTCAGGATGGGATAAGACGGGACACGGGACATGGAATTACCATCGGGACGTCTCGTCCTGTCTCGAATATTATATATATTATTTTTTATTTTAAGTATATTAATTATATTAATATAATTTATACTTATATTAATTATATAAATTATAATTTTAATATTTACAATTCTTATTTAAAACTAAAGTTTTTTTATATTGATAATTTTTGTTGACATTAAGTAAACATAGCGATATCTTTCTTTATAATATATTAATTATATTAATATAATTTATTCTTATATCTATGTATTTAATAACTTTTATTTATAACGTATTTCTTACTTTATTTTTATAAGAGTAATTAGTTTAGTACATTTTCACTAAAGTAAAAAAATAATGATTTGATGTTATATTTGATTTGTCTGTTGTTGTTACTCTTATAGCCTAAAAATCACTTGTATTTGCTATTATAGTGTGTAGTTGTGATTAATGTAATTTAATAATTGACTTTAAATTGTTGTGATTTATATACTTGTATTATTTTGATTTTAAACTTCATAAATTATATAATTTAAAATTTTAGTGAACATTATTATCCACATCTTTCTCCTATATTATTTGATTTATTAGGACAGTAAGACATCCTGATCTTGTCCCAATTCCATCTCGACTCCTAACAGGACAGGACGGGATATGAAACCAAAATTCAGTCCCAATCTTTTTTAAAAATAGGATGTGGGACGGGGGTGTTCTAGTCCCGTCCTATCCCATAAACATCCCTATTCTACATCTATTTTTAAACTAGCAATGATAGTGTTTTTTCTGCTATAGTTGTTCCTACATGTTTTTTCTGTCATATATTAAAAAATTTATAATTGGAGCAAAAGGAAAGATAAAACTAAAAATTGGAGCCATACAAATAAGGATTGAATCTAGCAAAAGAGATAAATTTCTTACAACATGGTGAAACAAGATTTAAATTTCAATTAGGTGAGACACTTACATTTAATACTCAACCATAAAATTGCCTTTAATAAAAAAAAATATATGAGTAACTAAAAATAATCAAAGTCTTGATTGATCAAATGGTTCTGCCCCCTGAAAATCTATGGCTCCCAAGCTTCATATAGCACCCCCTAGCCAGTTCTCAAATCCACCGCCATCTCCCATTCTAAAATCCTTGCTTCAAGTAGATATTACTAGTAGGACAAGTTACATAAAAAATAAACTGTAGATTAAAATTACTCTATTTGTTAAGAAATATAAAGTATTTTTTAAGGAGTTGGATATTCAAAAGTGTAAAGCATTTTTAGTCTTTTAAGGTGTAATCATTGTTTTTTTTTTCTAAAAGTGATCCTATTGATGAATAACTTTATATTTATTATAAAGTGTTTCATAGGGGTAAATATGAAAAGATAGAGTTAGTTTAAAAGTAGATGACTACTTTATTGAAAATATGATTCGGTTAAAAATGCCTTATATTTTTAAATAAAGGGAGTATATATGATAGTTACATATGAAATGAACTAGATATTCAAATAATTTCATCAAATTATATTAATTGCATCCTTAAAATTATATCTATTGCATTAACTTATTTAATATTTAGACATTATGTTGTGCATGAAATATTTAAGTAATAATTTCGTTTGTTTTCTACATAATATTTTAATATATAAAAAAATTTAAAAAATATGTTTCTTTCTTCTTTTGAAGCGCATTCAATGCTCATGAGGGGTGATGGGCAACCAATCTGGATGGTTTAGATTAAAATTTTTTAAATTTTTTAAAATAAAAATTTATAAAATTTTAAATAGATATATTTATTATTAATACGTACCATTCATATTTAATTAGATTAGTCAAAATTTAATATTAATTTTTTATAATTTTTATAAATTAATGATACAGATTTACTCTGAATTGTTTTGAATATGACAGTATAACAAGTTTAAAATTTTGAATATGAATAGTACAAACTAAATCTGTGTGATCGATTTTATAAAAAATTATAAAAAAATTAATATTAAATTTAGACTCATCTAATTAAATATGAATACTAAATGTTAATAATAAATATATTTATTCAAAATTTTATAAATTTTTATTTAAAAAATAAAAAATAAAAAAAGTAGTTTAATCTATACCATCCAAATGGTCCAGATTGGTTCAAGTGTGATAAGCATGCAATGCTCATCACCCCTGATGAGTGCCGAATGTGCTCCCCTCCACCTTTATTATCAAAGCTAGCATTCGATGACTATTTCAAAAATGTTATGGTTGACCCCATGTTGAAATTTCTTAGAAAATTGGCATTAGTATTTTAAGTTAGAAACTATGAGAAGTTCGCAACAAACACATCTTCACCGAGAAAATTATCGATAAAGTTTTCTTCCTAGTACATATTAAAGCTTTTGTGGATCATATTTATAGGTCTTTTTTATTTTTGAAAGTCTAATATAATTGCTTTTCACTCTCCTGTACAAATTGCATATATAGTTTTGTTTAATAAAACTCCTTTCCACTAAAAAAAAAATGTAATGGTTAAACAGTGGGTCAAGAAAAATAAGGTTATATTTGATTTTTGATGCTATTTTTATTTTTAAAAATTATTTTGTAATATATTTTTAAAATTATTTTTTAAAAGAAAACAAAATAAAAATATATTTATTTATGTTAATTTAAAAATAATTTTAAAATAAAAATAAGATGCTAGTGATGATTGCATGAGGTTAATTGTGATAATTTATGATAAAAATTAATTAAACTAACTATACTTTTCAATAATCAAATATAATATGTTTTGAAAATAAGAAAAATAAAATGAATATAACATTAAAATTTTTTTATTTTTTATTATTGAAAAATATATTTAGTTTGAAAAATAAAAAATGAAAACAGTTTTGAGAACAATTAAATCCAAAATATTTATCTAAATAAATTTTTCAATTTTTTTAAAATATAAAATAATTTTAAAAAAAATCAAATAAAACCTAAAATTCTTGAACTTCCCCTAAATCCCACCATATAATTGTCACCCGAGTTAGTTCCATGAGGCTAAATTTGTCATAATTTCTAAATATTAAATTTAAAACTGTGACATTTTTTTTAAAGGAAATGCCATTTATAGAAATAAATATATCAGTTCACTAATAATAAAATCTACTTATTTCTTTAGTTTTATTTATAAGGCAATAAAATATTTTTTTATTCTATTTATATTATAAGGCACCTCAATAATTATTTTCTCTCTCTTTATTCTTTTCATGCTTTTAAATGTTGTCAATGTTATTATTATTAAATATTAAAGTATTTTATTTTAAAAAAATCGCACCTATGACCCTTAGAGGAGAAAAAATTGCGCTTGAGGCCAAGATATTCTAAAATTATTATGTAGCCTTGAGGGTTTTTTTTTTTTTACAAATATGTTTTAGAAGAAAAGACATAACTATTCTTAGTGACAAACGATTGCAAGTGAAAGTTTTGTTCAAAGTTGACAAGTTCATATCAGTCAAGTTAACAAATTTACAACTTAAAATTAACAAATTTACAATTTAAAGTTTAAATATTTACAAGTATATGCTTATCTATTCACAAGTGAAAGTTAATAATTTATGAATTTGTATATTTCATAAGGTTCATTGTTACAATAAGTTCAAATTTTTACAACTATATATTTACAAATTCACAACTTTATATTCATATATTAATAAATAATTATTCATTAATAGTAAAATTCTTGTTAAAAGTTGATAAGTTTGTCTTGGCCAACTTTATAAATTTACAACTTAAAGTTTTAATATTCACAAGGACATGATCATTCATAAATGAAAGTTTAGAATTTATGACTTAATTTATTTAAAATTAAAGTTAATCTTGACAACAAATTCATAATTTTACAATTAGATATTCATAAATTCACAACTTTAGATTCACATATTAATAAATATTTCCTCTGATCTTATTTATAAGTTATTCCTACTAACATCATTAATACTAATATAATAAAAGTATAAGAAATAAAAGTAAATGATATTTCGAATATAACCTTCAAGTAAAAAGTAAATAGTAAACAAATAATATAATATTATTTTTTTGTTTTTGTCTTTCTTACTTTTTAAGAATAATTTAATGATTTTTACTTGAAATAAAATAATTTTATTAACTAATGACTTAAAAAGTGGATCAAATTTTACTTTTAAAATATGACTAATATATAAGACTGAAAGGGTAATTATCTATTAGCAGTGAATCTAAAATTTTTTCTTTTTGGCTAAGAGCAATTGCATCTTTTCTTTTCAAAACATATTTGTAAAAAGAGTCATCAATCTGTTGCAGAATAATTTTAAAATGTATTAGATTTAAAGTGCAATTTTTCTTCTCTGGGATCCTATGTGCGATTTTTCCTTTTGTTTTTTAAGTGCGTGCGTGTGTATATAGATATATTTAATTCGAATAGAATTAAAAATTTATTTAAATTTTTAATTCACGTTAATAAAAGCACTTATTGAAAACTAAGAATGGCTACAACAGGACGGGAAGAGGGGATCCCAAGTAACCTGAAGCTTTTCTATAAGCACTGGAAAATATATATATATATATATATATATATTCTAGATGAAAATAATGGCGAGCAAAGTGGGATTAATATGGCTACGAAATATTTGACCTTGTTTAGACTCCATTAAATGCCATCAGGTCCTCAACACATTATAAATACACGTCCAGCCATGTGAGTGTTCACCACATGCCGTCATCTCCGTCAACTCAACGTTAGGAGCGTGAGATACACGACACGAAAGAGAGTGGAAGCTTGATAATGAATAGTAAACCTGTCACGTCGCTAGGGGCCACCATGTGAAATTGAGAGATCACTGTTCATATTACTCTCTCTACTCCCACTCGCCCCGCAAGGCATTCCAACATCTCTCTCTCCCCGTCTCATTCTTCTTCATTCATTCATCTCTGCTTTTTTACGTCCCATCAATAAGTCCCCTCCTTTCACATTTTCACTCTCTCTCTCCCATTTTCTTCTTTCTTCCTTCCTTGTTTCTTCTCCCCTCTTCTTTTCTCTATCACGAAAACTCTTTTCCCGTGAAAGTTTCTCTACTCCAGATTACACAAATCTTGACCTATTCATGTTACTGGTTACACCCCTCAACAAACAAAACCCGAAAGACTTCAACTTCAACTCCAAATCAACCACACATCGTCTTACTAGTTAGTTCTTGATCGTATATCTCACGGGGGTTCAACAATTGGATCGATATAATTGTCTCTTGCGGATCATGGATTCGGCATCAGGAGGAGCGGGGCCGAGTGCATCCGACCCGAATAGTGCTGGTGTGGCGGCGTCGGTGTCACAAGCAGAGGGGTCGTCGGCGGGGGCGCCGCCGAGCCGATATGAGTCGCAGAAAAGGAGGGACTGGAACACGTTTTTGCAGTACCTGAGGAATCACAAGCCGCCATTGACATTAGCTCGGTGCAGTGGAGCTCATGTGATTGAATTCTTGAAGTACTTGGATCAATTCGGGAAGACCAAGGTTCACATCACCGGATGCCCCTATTTCGGCCACCCGAACCCGCCGGCGCCATGTGCTTGTCCGTTGAAGCAGGCGTGGGGAAGTCTCGATGCGCTGATCGGACGCCTCAGAGCCGCCTATGAAGAGAACGGCGGACGGCCGGAGTCTAACCCGTTCGGAGCCAGAGCCGTCAGGATTTACTTGAGGGAGGTCAGGGAAGGACAAGCCAAAGCTAGAGGGATCCCTTATGAAAAGAAGAAACGAAAAAGAAGCGCCGTAACAACCACTGTGGTCAGCTCCAATGTGTCGGCAACAACCAACACCGGCGGTGCTGGCGCCACTTCAAGCAGTGGCGGAGACGGCGGAAGAGGAGGAGTTGACACCACCACCACCGCCGGTGGTGGTGGTGGTAGTAGTGTTGTAGTTGCTTCTAATACAACTACAATTAGCACGACTACTACTGCTACCGTATAGTGTATCCTAGTATAATTCTGATAAAATCTTACTTCTTTTTCCCTACTGCTATCTAAATTTATTCGTAATGAAATTAATTATGATCTTTAATCCCATTTCTAAGGCCATTTCCTCAATTCGAATAGACCTAGTCGATCTACAAATGTTGTAAAAACGCTGTTCTTGAATGTCTCGTGGCTTATCCTTCTCTCTCTCTCTGCATTATATATACATGCTAGGCATGGTATGACTGTGGATTGTTTTTGTTTTGTTTTAGGTTAGAAGGGAAAGATCCAAAAGCGATGCTTTCATTTTCATATGTTGAACTTAGTCTTCTTCGTCTTTCTTTCTTATATTTTTCTTCTAACCGGCTGGTGAAATTGTGCGTTAATTCTACATCATATATTCTCTCCCTTCGATTCCACTAAGGAAACTTTGAAACTTGGGGGCAGCGCATCACTCTTTGATTCAGTATTTGCTTTCGTTATTATGACATTTGGTTTTTGTCTTGACCTGCTCCTCGCTCTTAGCTCCAATCAGTGTGGTGCACTTGGATCTCAATTTGATGAAAGTAAGAAGAAAAAGATGTGTATAGAGGATTTGACCCTTCCATTTGATTATTATATTCTAGCATGTATTAATTAATTGTATTGAATTAAACTTTTCTGATATTTTTTCTTTCTCTCTTTCTTTCACTCACTGATAATCCCCGGGGCTAACCTTCTCTGCAACTGTTCATATGGTCCCCCGGGGCTGAATCCAAATGTATAGATCTGCTGGCCTTAATCTATCTCAGTAACCACGCACACGTGCGTCTATCATTTACATTTTTTTTGCAGTCCTGTTTCAGGTGCTTGCTAGCTACGTTACTGTAGTAAGCATAGTAACCTTTATTACAACGCCATTAAAGATCCTTTATAACTTTTTTTCCAAGATTTTTTTTTTCAGTTTTCTTTTGTTGCTGTTCTTGTGTATCGTAGGGTATTAAATTTTTGGCTTCTTCTCGTCGTTTTTGGATCGTGTGGGTTTTGAGATTTTAACGCATTCACTTCTCCTTCTTTTTATTTACTTTTTTTTATAAAAATATTCAAGTTTGTCTTTATTTATTTTGTTGCGCACAAAAAATTTTAAGTACCTTAGTCTTAAGAGACCACTGTCCACTAGGTTAAGGCATGCTTTCAGATTTAAAAATACTTACAAAAGTACTTACAAATTATCTAGCAATAAAATTTTTACATTAACAATGAGATTTAATCACATAATCTTATGAGTTATGGGCTAAATTCTTACAAACTAAACTAACTTTTGTTGAAAATTCATACTTGTTTCTAGAGTTTAGATAAATAATGGTTTTTTGCTTCCAAATAAGCACTCAACACCTTTTTTTTTTAATGTTATTTGTAATGCCTTAACTTTTCAATTAGTTTTTTTTGAATCATTGTCTTTTACATAAAATAAGAACATTTTAATTAATGCCTTGAAGTCTTTAAATTGTGAAGTTTTGTATTTTCTATTATTTTTTAAAATAAAAAGGTGTCATTGTGATATTTTTCATTTGAAATCAAAAAAAAAATTGCCAACAGTTCAAGACATTAAAATGTCTCTTATTTTATCTGAGAGTCAATAATTAAAAAAAGAAAAAAATTGAAAAGGGAGCATTACAAAAAGGAATTGAAAAAAAAAAAAGAAAAACACGTTAGAGAGACTTCTAACCCTATTTTGTGTGCATTTGGACAGGACATGACCAAAAGATCAGGAGAGAATAAGTCAGATCCCTCTCCTTTCCCCTCAGATATACCTAGTTATAATTGGCATTTCTTATTGAGAAAACAAACTATAAAAAGAATAAGCTACAAGCATCTGTGAAGAGAATAAATATCCGTTGTGTTGATGTTCTTTTAAAAAATATATATATTTGGGTAACCACTATCTTAGTGTGAAAACGACCACAAGCCAACCGTTGTTTGTGTTTTATATGTTTATTTATTGTTTACTTAATTATTACACATATTTAAGCCAGCTATGATTTATAATGTTGTATTTGTTATTATAGCATAGACCCACCATCCACTTCAAAACAAAATAACGTTTCTGGATTTTGATTTCGTATTTTGGGCCCATTTCGATTACATTTATAATTTGTCCATCTTCCAAGTATGATAATAATGTACTGGAAATTATTGCTTGGAGTACTCTTTTGTTTGGTTCTTCATTTCCCTTGCATGATTTTTCCAGAAATTGGATCCAAGGATTATATATATGTACATGTTCATAAATTTAATCTTCCTCTCTGTGTATTTTAATATCATCCTCTCTCTGTGTGTGAGCATTTACCAGGGAAATTTCGCTTTCTGGCCTTTTGTTGAACCACATAATTTCATATAGGTTACTTTATTTTCTCACAGCTCTCTTTTCTTTTGTTTTCTTTATTATGTGCGGTGGCTACTTTAACCACTTGGATTTCCAAAAAGTCAAAAAAGAGAAAACAAATAGGATATATCCTTATTCTTATTTAATTAATACTTATGTTAATTTATTGCACATGCAACATCCACTCTAGACTTTACCCCCAACAGCATTCATGACTCATAACCATTAACAAAAGCTTTACTTCTACATAATTCCTCTAATCAAAGGTTAAGAGAAAAATAGAAAGAAATACATAGTTCCATCTAGTTGCTAGAAATGAATGAAATGAAATATATTAAAAAAATAAAGATAAAATTAAGATAATTAAAATGTGGAGAGGGAATAAGTGAACAATTTTCACAAGGGAGGAGGGTAAGTTTTGTCTTTCAACTATTCAGTCAAGAGTTTCCACTATTCTAAACTTACATGTAGTGTAATTTTGCCATTCAATATTTAAAAATGATGCATTGGATACCTTACCAAGTAGCTAACTTTGACAGTCAATTGATAAATAATTACAAAAATGACATAAAAAATTATAGAAAAAGACCTATAAAATTGTAATTAAGTATCATATAAAAAAAAATTAATATTGATCAAGTCTTTAAAATAATGGTTGGTCAAAACTGTATTTTAGCATTTTACGTGGGTGAGAAATAATATTTATATCCTTTTATTTATGTGTAACTTAGAGAACTTAATTTATGTTAATTTTCTTATAGAGTGCTTATGTGTAATTTTATGAGTGATTCTCTGTAATTTTTTGAGATATTTTTTGTAATCTTTTCAGTCAACTAACATTTAAAATTAATTTTTTTAATAATAGAAAATTCAATGCACCATTTTCAAATATTGAAGAGCAAAATTTCACCACATGTAATTTTAAGATACCAGACACTCCTAAGTGAATAGTTGAGATAAAAATACCCTTTACCTCTATATACATACACATGTGCATGGGTGAACATATAAATGTGTGTGTGTCTGTTAATATATTATCTCACCGTTTTATTTTTTTAGATCCTGATCACGAGCTACAGAATGTGGGTCAGGGAAATCTGAGTAGTGTTAAGTGCGAAAGGAGTAATATCACAAGGTTTTGAGGAGGGGCAAAAGGATCTGACTAGGGTTCTGAATTTGCTTGACTCTTACAATTTGTCGCCACATAGAACAGCATTCATTCATCAGTCCTCTTGTAGTACTCCAATCTGGCCATGACTTCACACATTATTTATGAATCTTCTCTGGCTTCATCATATATGCTTCATGTTTAAGAGTAGGAGATAATGAATTGAAGAGAAGGGGCTGCTAATAAATTTTCTGACGTTTGGTAGTCATATGAAGGGGGTTTGGGACCAATAGTACTGTTGCTCTAACGTTCTTTTTTAATTTAATATTTAATATATAATAATGCGATACTGTCGAGTTAAATTTGAGTATTGTCTGACATAATTAATTGAAAGTAACTTTTCTAACAATATTTTTTCATTCACAAAATTCAAACTCTCGACACACCATGGATGGCCAAGGCTGTTATTATGCGGTGCAAGACCCCACGTGTGAGCGTACTACTGTTAAAGTTTGGTATCTGAGGGAACACACATACAAGTTTTTCTTCCATCCCTATTATAATGCATTTTTTAAAGGTATCTTTTAATTCATAATATAAAATATATTATAAAATACTCTCTCTATTAAAAAATATAAAATATTTTTAATTAAATTTTAATTTTTAATAAAATAATTATTTACTTTTCAACTAACTTTATTTTTTTATATTTATCCTTATTAAACACCCTACAATAAATATAAAGTTATTAGGGATACTTTTAAAAAAAAGGTAATGATTATACTTTAAAAGACTAAAAATATCTTACATTTTTTAACATTCAATACCTTAAAAAATGCCTTATATTTTTGAACGGAGGAAGTATTAATTATATTTTTTTAATATTATCTTTATTTTTTAATACTGCCCTTATGTTTTTCAAACTTACATAGTTTATTAATTATGTGAATTTAAAATTTATTTATTTAAATAAGATAAAATTAAAAATTTATTATATTTTTAAATAAAATAATTTAACTATTTTTTTTAATTTTGTTAAAAATATTTTATAATAAAGATCGAAATGAGTATATATAATTTATTGTTAAACCCTCTCAAGTGCAGCATTATGGTAACTGAGGAGTCACTGACATCATCAATGCTGGTCCAAAGGTGACTGATGATCACACTGTCTATGTTTTTAAGATGTTGAGCGGTTTAAATTTCATGTGCTTTTTATTTTTATTTTCCAATGAAAATTCATTTTGAAAATTTGCATGACCAGTAAAGAATGATTTTTTTGTCATATATGTATGTACTCATACTATAATATAATAATTAAGATATTCAAAATTAGAAAATTAAAATGAAATCAAATATTGGGACATGTTTGGTATTTTCAAAAACTATTTTATGTCTTTAAAAATGAAAAATGAGAAAATGAAAAAAAATCTCGCCAAAATATATAAATGACAATTAGGTCCCTTGAAATGTCATAATTTTTTTAAAGTCTTTAGATACATTTCTGACATTAATAATTTTAGGTTAAATGATTAAATTGCCCCTTATTTAAAACTAAAAAAGGGAAAATAACAATAAAGAACCTCCTAAGGACATTAATCTCAATTGAGGACCATGAAATATAAAAATCTCAATTAAGAACCATTGGGATTTAAAAAAAATGTAGATGGCCTTAAATGCCCCTGAGAAAAAAAATAGCAAAATACATGTGTGCACAACCTCATTTCTTG